TATTCCTCTACCTGTTTACGTTATTGCAACAATTTTTTTCCTCCCTCCAGCAATTCCAGAATTTCATAAAAAGCTCTCACTGCTGTCTTTCTGGTCTAAGTGCACTGGTCCTACAGGAGCATATCATACCTCAGCAGACAAAATGATAAAGCAGCTGGATGTCTCTTTTGCCACAGCTGTGAATGAAGAGTGCCCAGGACTTGCAGAAACAGGTACATTATATATATATATATATAAAAAAAATCTACCCACAAGTCAAGGTAGATCGGTCAGAATATGTCTACTAGTGGGCTTCTGAAAAAAAATGCCAATATGCTGAGGCCAAGTTTCTCTCACCTTCAGTTACACCTCTTCAATTCTACAGAGACCTTAACTGAAAGTAACTGATTTAAAGTTTTTTTGCCACAATTTGTAAAAACCAAAATAGCAAACAAAGGAATTAACTGGTTTAAAGTCCACAGGATTTTATATAAAAAAAGACTAGCTCTGATAAACACACACAGTTACACATGCATCTGAAGAAGTGGGTCTTTGCCCACAAAAGCTTATTCTCCAATAAATCTGTTAGTCTATAAGGTGCCCAGGACTCCTTGTCGCTTTTGCAGATTCAGACTAACATGGCTACCCCTCTGACACTTGACACACAGTGTATTTGTTTAGTCAAATATAGGGGAACATTCTCTTTCTGCACTGCTGATCTCATTCTCTTGCCTGTTCTGCCTGCCAGATTCTCACCCATGTCAATAGAAATTCTGCATATCAACTTGAACTAGGCAAAAGATCATTGCTGCAGGCTAAGTCCTGCCCCTCAACAATCTCATTGACTTCAGTGGTGTTAGAGTGGTGCAACTTGACACAGCATTTGGCCTTCTACTGAACAATGCATGGCATCAGGTGGAGAGAAAGGATGGTCTAATGAACAGGGTGGTGTGCCGGCTTTGAGAGAACGTTTCAGTTCCTGACGGAGCCGCAGACACACGGGCTGTGTCTAGACTGGCAAGTTTTTCCTCAAAAGCAACTGCTTTTGTGGAAAAACTTGCCAGCTGTCTACACTGGCCGCTTGAATTTCCACAAGAACACTGACGATCTCATGTAAGAAATCAGTGCTTCTTGCGGAAATACTATGCTGCTCCCGTTCGGGCAAAAGTCCTTTTGCGCAAAAGCTTTTGTGCAAAAGGGCCAGTGTAGACAGCTCAGATTTGTTTTGCGCAAAAGCGCATCTAGATGGGCACAGACGCTTTTCCACAAAAAGTGCTTTCGCGGAAAAGCGTCCATGCCAATCTAGACGCTCTTTTCCGCAAATGCTTTTCACGGAAAACTTTTCCGGGAAAAGCATTTGCGGAAAATCATGCCAGTCTAGACGTAGCCACGGTGTGGTATATGGCAAGGCACAATCTATTCACTCTCCCTTCTGTAAGTTGGCAATAGTTCTTCCCTGCCACACAAGATTTCATGAGGATGGGATCTATGAATGGTTGGGAAGAGCTCAGATACCTACAACGAGGAGGACTAGATGGACAAAGGACAATGCTGCCCATAATGAAGATGAGAAATACTGATGCTGGGAAATGGCATTGGTTTAAGTTCTGCCTTTTTCATGTTTTAAGACATGCCGAATTGAGTCAACTCTAGTGTTTTGCCTGTCTGCAGTTTTTTATTCTTGTTAATACAATGTTCCTGTGTCTTTTTCCTCGCTGCATGTAGTATTTAGAACCCTGGTGTCTCAGATCCTCGACCGAACGGAGCCAGTCCTCTCCTCCAGTCTGTCCTCTGAAATCCTCACAGTTTTTCAGTATTACAATTATTTTGCCAGCAACAGCATTAGCGACCTTGGAAGCTATTTGTTGCAACTTGCAAAAGAAGGTATAGTGTCTAAGTTCTGGCTGGTAGAAGGCTAATGTATCAATGTGCTTTTGAGTAGCAGATGAAAATAATTTGGTCCTTGGCTTGTTTGTTTGTTTTTTCCATTAACAAACATGGAAGAGGGAAACAGCTGCCTGGAGTGTTTGAATATGATTTCAGTGGAACACATGCATATTGAAAAAAAAGGTGTGGGTATTTCCAACTGACACCTCCCCCCAATACACATACATGCTCATTAGTATTAAAATGAAAACAAGTGTGTAAAAAATAATATTTAGGAGCTGGATGGTATTGTTGGCTTGGTCCCCAAATTTGGAAGGTGCTGAATGCCCCCAGCTGTTACTGATTTCAATCTTTCTTTTCTCCATCCTAATCTTTGGACTGGGTCTGTGAAGTGCTGAGCAAAGTGCTTGAGGAAGATGAGCAAACTCTGTGCCTTGCAAGAACCACTCAGCAATTCAGAGGACCTGGCCTGTAAACTCAGCCCAGAAACTGACACTTGGCACCAGTGTTCCCTGTAAGCTGAGTGCTTGGGAGACCACCCACGAGAGATCCAAATGCCGCCCAGCTGATTAGCAGAGCGCTCACAGCCAGCAGCATGTGTATCTGTGGGTGGTGCACAGCCACACATGCCTCAGCGCACATAACATTAGGAAACATTGCTTGGCACCTCTTGGGCCCAAGATGATAGTGCCATAGACTTTTACTGCTGAAGATGTGAATTTCATTGGGTAATGTGATCCATCTGAAACGGCTTTTGAGGGACTCCTCCCAATCCTCTGTTCTGCATGACGACAGCATAGCCTATCTTGGTGTAGCTGATCTTGGTGTAGCTGCAAGCTTTTACTCAAAGGAAGCCAATAGGAGAAATGTTCAGTAGGTAAAGACATTCTTGGTACAGAGATAGAGAGATTGATAGGCCTCCCCAGGTCGTGCTTCCACTGGACTGTGTGGAGAAGTTTGCATGAAGCCTGCTCTCACTATGACTAGCTGAAGCCAATGCTATTGAACACTCACTCATGAGCACTAAATCTAGTCACTTTTCTAAAATAAACACACCCCCCCCAAAAACAAACTAATGACCAATATAACATCACTATTACTATCATCAGATATCAGTCTCTATGTAAATGCCACTCAAGAGTCATGGTCTTAAATACAGAATGTGCCAAAGGAAAACACATCTTGAAGTCAACTTTATCCCCTAGGCTATTCAAGTTTCCTTGCTACAGTAACTGATTAGGTTTCCTACCATCAGTTAAAATGTGATGACTGGACCCTCACTTTATGATGGGAATAAGATTCCTAACATTCCATTTAACACATCTGTTACTTCTGTGGAGAACGTAGGCCAGTTCTCAGCAAGAGTAGCTGGGAGGCAGAGCTCAAAGAGCAAAACATTGCCCAAGCTGGAGCACAGAAATGCTGGTAACTCAGTGAAGCAGTGATTTTTCACTTTCCTTTGTGCCTGTGGAGAGCTGTTGTAAGTGGAAAGGGGCAACATAATTGATGGGGATAATACAAAAACAAAAGGAGAATACTGACATCTCTTTCTTTCACATTCTAGCCTCAGTGGTTGAGAAGCTGCAGACATTAAGAGATGAAAAACTGCTACAGAATATCTCTGAGCTAACCTCCAGCAGTCTTCTGCTTTACTTCTGACAGAAAATAAAAATGAAGTTGGCGAGGCTGTGACATCACTCTTGTTAGCTTCAGCAGAAAACAAGCATTTCAGGGAGAAGGTAGGAGATGGAGGACGCAAACCAAACTGCAAAAACAACTTACAGCATAAAAGATTATATATAATCACATTTTAACTTGTAAAGTAACTTTTCAGAGAGTCTTGCAGTGGTATTTTAGGAATGTTGGTCCCAGAATTTTAGACACACAAGATGGGTGAAGTAGTAAAAATAATTTGATTTATTTTATTTGGACATGAAGAGGAGCACAAAATTTGTCTCTCTTACCAACAGAGTGTAGTCCAAAAAAAGATATTGTCTCACCCATCTTGTTTCTCCAACTCTTACATAATGGGTGTGTCTAGACTACATCATTCTGTTGACGGAGCCATGTAAACTAGTTTACCCAACATAGTCAATGAAGTGGGGATTTGAATAATCCCTGCTTCATTAAAATAAAAATGGCCACTGCGCTGTGCCAACAATCAGTTGATCCAGCACAGTGCCGCAGTCTAGACGCGTATCAGTCGACAAGAGTTAAGGGAGTGGTCGACAAAGGCTTCCCTTGTCGACCGATATGCGTCTAGACTGCGGCGCTGTGGCGGATCAGCTGATTGTTGGCACAGCGCGGTGGCCATCTTTATTTTAATGAAGCGGGGATTATTTAAATCCCCGCTTTATTGACTGTCGGGTAAACTAGTTTATATGGCTCCATCAACGGAGCCATGTAGTCTAGACACACCCAATATGTACGCATGCAGCAGGTATGTCTGTACAATACCTGTCGCAATAATATCTGATCACTAATTTAAAACTGTTCACTTGACATTGTATTCGCCAATCCTCTATCATGTTTCACATTCGTGTGGGTGCCTGGTAATTTATTGAAATGCTGCTGGACCATTCTTCAAGCACTTCCCTTTTGAAAAGAGATGGGTCTGATATTTTGCACTGAAGGTGATAAGAGTAGGGCAGTGTCCCTGATTTCTAGAGGAAGGAAATTGCCAATGAACAAACAAGAATTAGCTTTGGTGGTCCCTAGTGAAGTAATACATTACGGCATTGTAAACAAGTGAACTAAAGAGAAAGGAGAAGGAAAGAAAGAGGGAGAGGTTAGACCTTTGTTATTTGCAATATCCTTCCCCATTTCTGCTGTTATCCCAATGGAAGTTCATTCTTGACTACCTTTGTTGTGAGGAGGGGGCAGAACAAGAAGAGGCTGTGATGGGTCTGGAGAGGAGGAGGAGAGGTACTCTAAACCAGTGAGATGAGTCACTATTTGCCCTGCAAGCAATAGGTGCATCTCACAGTGCTTTGCTGTTGTAGCTCCCAGCTTGGGCTACTCACAACCAGCCAATCAAGGCTCACTGAGTGTCTGTGTTAGACAGCTCTTGTTCAGTAGCTCAGACCCCAGCAGCCTTGATGACAATCAGCAAAGTGACCCCAACAAGCCTCTAGTCCCAATTTCCCCCCCAAAATTGTGTATTCTATAATATCCAGCCCTCTTTTGCACTCTGAGAAACAATAAGGTTCAATTGTTCTAAAAACGTAAAACCTATCACTTCAGTGGGGGAAATATACCCTTTCATTTAAATACAGCACTGAGCACATTTTAGTAACTAAAACAAATGTAGGAATAATAGGTTATAGGTTGAGTGAGTGATGCCAAGTACAGGCAGTCCCCGGGTTACATGGATCCGACTTACATCGGATCCCTACTTACAAACAGGGTGAGGCAGCCCCGTACTAGCTGCTTCCCCCCAGCAGACCAGGGAGATGCGGAGCGGCTTTTCTCAGCAGACACCTCAGCTTGAGAATAAAGGACTGAGGGAAGTGAGGTGTGGGAGAATAAAACTGAGCTCTGGAGAAATGTTTGGCTAGAGTTTCCCCTACAATATGTACCAGTTCCGACTTACATACAAATTCAACTTAAGAACAAACCTACAGTCCCTATCTTGTACGTAACCCGAGGACTGCCTGTAATTCTCCCCTTCCAAGCTTTGGACAAGCTGTTCTAGGCAGACTTCCACCTGTGCCACTTCCCCAGTGCCTGGTAGGGGAACCTGGGCCAACCCTCTACTCCAAGTTCCAGCTCATAGACTCTCACAGAGCAGAATTATGCTCATTCTCCTTTTGGCCATGAGCTATAGTCTGTTTTTTTCCCACACCTGGTTGCTCCTTTCCTGGGCTCTGTCTTGCTCCCTCCTTCTATCCTCTGGGTTTATCATCTGTCTGAGCTTCCTCTGCTCCCTATGGTGCTTTCTCCTCTGGCTTCTCGCCATATCATGCAATCTCTAACAAACTTCCCTCTGCCAGGGAGTGAGTACAGACTGTTTGCCCCTACAGCCCCCTTCTGGTCTTAACTTTATAGAAGCCCTGCCTGTTCCTGCTCAAGTGAGCTTCATCTTTAATTAAGCATTACTGAGGCCTATGCAGTTAATGGGCCCAACTACCATACCTTAACCCTTTCAAGACTTGTGTGGGATGAACACCTCATCACAACAGGTAAACAGCTGCCGTCTCTTCTGCCTAGGAGAAACCTGTTTTTCCCCCAGACTGGAAAGCCTAATATCAATGGGTATCAATAATACCTTCTATAGCGTTCATGATGATATCTATATTAATTACCCAGGAGGCATATGCTTTCATAAAATACCTTAGTCTGTACACTTTTATAACACAGAACAACTGTATGCAAGCAGTTGATTCAACTGCTTATCACTTGAGTTTCAGCATCCCACCACCTCCCACCTCCACCCCCACCCCAGTCTTTATAGAGCAAAAAACCTTTCTTTGACAATTACAACCTGGACCTCCTACCTCACTTGTGAGTGTGAAGTTTGCTTCCACTCTTGATGGATCTTTTTATGCGATATGTAAATGCATTCTCATTGTCTTTCAAGTAACTCCCAGGGAGGGAAAAATATGTTCCTTTTTCTAGTGCAGAGTCAGACTTGTTTACCAATCCCTAGGTTCTGCTTGGTGTAAACACACTTTAGTCATAATTCTAGCATGTACCTTTACATGTTTACACACAAGAATATTAGTCAGTTATTAATTTTTCAATTGATACCTCACAATAATCTGTACAAGGATTGTGGAGGGGGTGAATACAGGGTACTTAGTGTCACTGGGGAAATGGCTACATGAAAAGAAAGGGATAAGAAAAGGGTTGAGAGGCACCAGTTAGGCTCATTCTCCCTTTGGTCATCTTCCTCTGCCCCCCTATATTGTTTTCTCCCTCACTTCCCAACTGTGCTACCTCACCTAATTTTTCATGTACAAGTGTCCCCTTCTCCTAGCACAGGCTTACTCCATTCATGTTGGGCTCACTACCACAAGGAAGAGACATCATGGTGCATGTATCAAAACACCCTGGAATTCACTAGGAGCTACCTACTCTTGAGATTTGCAGCTAACATGGATTCTTGTTTGCTTAGCAATAACTGGAAGGAACATTGGGCTCTGAACTTAACAGCTCCTGATAGCTTTGTGATAGTCATCTTCACTCTCTGAGTTCAAATCCAGCCTAGGTTACTAGTGACCCAAAGCCATTACCACCCCTGCTCTGGAGGGACAACCTTGAAAGGAATGACAGCAGTTTAGTCTCCAGGACCCACTCGCTTTGTGGCCTGAGAAACTGCCATCAAGGGTACTAATTATTGTTGATTAATTAGCACACTTGTTTGCCAAGGACTGGACCACGACTATTAGCCCACAAAACTTGGGCTGGATTTCAACCAGTGACATTCCCCACTATCCTATCCAAAACCATCCAGTTACTCAATAAGTGTGATTATTTTAACTTTTCAATCCTGTATCCATGTTGTTAGGTAATTTGGTTTTCTGTGTTCGGAAATGTAGCAATACAGGCAGTCCCCGGGTTACATGGATCCGACTTACATCGGATCCCTACTTACAAACGGGGTGAGGCAACCCCGCACTAGCTGCTTCCCCCCAGCAGACCAGGGAGATGCGGAGCGGCTTTTCTCAGCAGACACCTCAGCTTGAGAATAAAGGACTGAGGGAAGTGAGGTGTGGGAGAATAAAACTGAGCTCTGGAGAAATGTTTGGCTAGAGTTTCCCCTACAATATATACCAGTTCCGACTTACATACAAATTCAACTTAAGAACAAACCTACAGTCCCTATCTTGTACGTAACCCGGGGACTGCCTGTACATACATTTCTTTCACTTTTCTGCTCAACACAGCTATAAAACATCTTAACTGGTGTCCTTCTCTGTTTTCCAGGCTTTAATTTACTACTGTGAAGTACTAACACAGCCTGACCTCCACCTACAGAAAGCAGCTTGCATGGCACTGAAATGCCTTCAGGTAAAATGTGATGCAATCAGTTATTGTACTCCGCTTTGCTTGGAAGTTCAACACACGAACAAAGATTCTGTTCAATAGAATCTCTTGAGCATAGATATGCACAAACTGCAAACAGCAGCAGCAATGGGAGCATTGCTTTTTATTTTGTAACTTCTGCCCTGATATTGTTGGCCTGAATTGTTTAGAATCTTGGTTTCTAAAGCAGTCAGTTTCTGATGATGATGAACTATGTATCACACATTGTCTCTTATTCCATAATAAAAAAGATCTTATTTATTTTAGGAGACAGAGGGTGTCTCTCACATGGGAAAAATATTCAGAGAACAGTGTCTTGATAGAGAAAAAAGGGGAAAAAAGGTCTTCTAAGGCACACTTATAATGGACCCAGCAAAAAACTGTAAAACAAGAGAGGAGAGAGAGAGAGATCAGTCTCTGTTACCATAGTAATTGAGAGAGTGTATGTCACCTGTAAGTAAAAGCCTTCATAGCAAAGTGGCTGGAAAACACAGAAATCCCCTATTCAATATCACCTCAATTTCTGGTGCCATTTTTGCAACCCCACAACACACAAAATCAATCCTTGCTATCCAGCCAGGAAAAGGCCAAAGGAGGGAATTCGCTGTTCTCAATCCATGAGCCCTCATATGTTCCCTAAAGTTAGCTACAGTAGGTGCTGCATTTAAAAAAAAACAAAAACAAAACATAGTATTCCATGAGAGAGAGAAATATTGCACAGTGGTGATCCCTCTCAGACTGCCCTCCGAATAGATAACAGTGCAGGATACCACCTATCTATCCCTATATCTCAGCAACATCCTCTAGCTATAATGGGGATGGATGATGCACCTCCTGGAACTACGAGATTGTCTAGCTAGCACTTGAGACAAGAGCCGCAAAGTGATTATGTGCAGATGCCCAAAGGCTAGAAGGGCACTATACCATTAATCAGGCCCGCTGGCAGAGGTGGGGGCAGGAAGCAAAGGGGGCAATTGTCCTAGGACCCAGTCATACAAAAGGCATCCAGGAGCTCCGGTCCCACCATTGCTACTGCGGCAGCATCATCAGCCAGAGCCCCAGACCCTTTAAATTGCTGACAGAGCAACATGCCCGGGACAGCACTGAGAGCTGCCTGGGGAAGGCCTATTTCTCTCTGGGCAGCACTGAGGGCTGCTGAGCCACAGCCCCAGCCCTTTCACCCAAGGCCCCACCCCTTCTGGGGACACAGAGCAGGGCACCCCTCCGCTCCATTCTGCTCAGGAGCCCAGCCAGGCTGTTTGCCCCATTGTCATTAATGCATACCTGCCACTAGAATTCTTGGTTATTTAGTTGCTTTAATCTTGCTGAGAAAGGTATAAAAGAACTGGTGCTAGAAGCTGAAGCTACACCATTCAAATTAAAAATAAAAGGTATATCTTTTGAACAATGAAGCTCATTAACCATTGGCGCAAACTACCAAGAGAAGTGGTGGATTCTCCATCTCTTGATGTCTTCAGATCAAGATTTGGTGACTTCTGGGATGATGTGCTTTAGTTATTGGGCTAAATATAGGGGTAGCTGGATGAAATTTGGAGGCCCATATTATACCAGCAGTCATACTAGATGATTAGAGCCCTATGCAGATACAAATACCTGTATCCGCATCTGTATTTGCAAAAATGAGTCTCGGATATTCCTATTCACATTCAGCAATACAGGTACCCGTGGATATAAAGCGGATAGCTGCGGATTTACAGGTCTCTATAGCTGATACATGGGTCCCTTTAAAAAAAAAAAAACACCTATGAATCTTTGAAGAACCTGCCTACAAAGGAAAATAGAAACACTTGAAAATGTACTCCTAGTTGATGTACACACCCATCCTAACATTAGCCCTACCCCAAGGGCTGTTTTTCTGCTGTTCTCCTCCTGTGAAGGATGGGAGAGAATGAACCACAGAACAGAGAGTTATGTTGCTTAATGCACAATGGGGAAGAATCCAGATACTTCACTCATCACTGTCATATATGAGAACCAGAAGAAAAGAGAATAGCTATTTTTGGGGGTCAGGGGGAAGAGACATCAAATTAAACTTAAAAAAATTAGAATGTCATCTCATACTATAAAGGAAATCAGATTATGTGGCTCCAAATACCTTCTTTTGGGTATGATAGGACACTACCTATCCATCTGTTCCACTCATCACCACTTTCACAGTGGTTGCAACCAAGGAAAGGGCAGCTACAACTAAGATTTTTGCAGCAGAAGTACAGACCAGAGTTACTTTTCGAGGGAGGGAAGGAAAAGTAACAAATTGAGCTCAAACATGAAGATACAAATGTCTTCATGTGTTTGGGGAGGGAGAGATGTCGAGGAAGGTTATTATACCCACACAAGAATATGAAGAGATTGGTAATTGGTAACATTAATACATGTTTTTGCACTTTCTAGGCTACTGAAAGTATTAAAATGCTGGTCATGCTCTGTCAATCCGACAATGAAGAAATCAGAAAAATAGCATCTGAAACCCTTCTCTCTCTTGGTGAGTTGTTTGTGTTATATTTATTTTACTGGGCTATAAAGTGTCCACTTAATGCAGAGGTGGGAAAACTTTTTTGGGTCTGGGGCCACTGACCCACAGAAAAAAAAATCATTTGGGGACCAAACAAAAGTTAGAAAAAAAAACAAAAAAAATGGCCCCTCACTGAGAAGAAAAAAGACACTTCCCACATTCTCCTCACACATCAGAGCTTAGGGGGGCCAAGGCTAGTAGATTGTGTGTGCTCCAGGGATGGCAGGGGCTGGAGCACCAGCATAGGATTCCCCAATGTTGGAGAGGAATCAATCCTCAGGGGTCAGATCCAGGCAAGCTGGGAGCCACATCCAGCCCTCGAACCTTAGGTTCCCCACCCCTACTTAATGCATCCAAAAAGCCGACACAGAATTATAGAACACTAGAACTCGAGAGATCATCAAGTCCAGTCCCCTGCCCTCACGGCAGGACCAAACACCAACTAGATGTCTGTCAATCCTGCTCTTAAATATCTCCAGTGATGCAAATTCCACATCCTCCCTATGCAATTTATTCCAGTGTTTAACCACCCTCACAGGAAGTTTTTCCTAATGTCCAGCCTAAACCTCCCTTGCTGTAGGTTTAAACTCATTGCTTCTTGTCCTATTCTCAAATAATTTCCACCCCCTCCTCCCTGTGACACCCTTTTAGATACCTGAAAACCAATATCATGTCCCCTCTCAGTCTTCTCTTTTCCAAACTAAACAAGTCTAATTTCTTCCGCCTTCTGTTATACTTCATGTTTTCTAAACCTTTAATCATTTTTGTTGTTGTTCTCTGGACTTCCTCCAATTTCTCCATATCTTTCTTGAAATGCGATGCCCAGAACTGGACACAGTACTCCAATCGAGGCCTAATCAGTGCAGAGTAGGGCAGAAAAATGACTTCTCAGGTCTTGCTCACAACAGTCCTGTTAATGTATCCCAGAATCATGTTTGCTTTTTTTGCAACAGTGTCACGTTGTCATATTTAGCTTGTGGTCCACTATGATCCCTAGATCCCTTTCTGCAGTACTCCTTCCTAGATAGTCACTTCCTGTTCTGTATATGTGAAACTGATTGTTCCTTCTTAAGTGGACTACTTTTCATTTATCTTTATTAAACATTTTAAGACACTAAATCAAAATACAAGTAGACCTGTAGATTCTCACAGATTAAAAAAAAAAAAAAACCCACAAGCCAAAAGAAATTGGCCCCAAAGGGGGAGGGGACTATAAAAAAGGAGGAAGAAAACAAGCTATACATGGTTGAGAAAGAAATGAGCTGTAGCCCATGAAAGCTTATGTCCTAAGAAGCTTGTTAGTCTTTAAGGTGTCACAGAACTCCTCATTGTTCGTCTCAATAAAAGTACTGTGCAAGCAACTTGGACCACAAATCGTCTTCGGTGGTCCACCCCCTACTAGCTTTCTCTTTACATAGCCACATAGCAAGGGTCAACTCGAGTAGCAGTTTGTGTGTCCCTCTGCATTATAGTGATTGTCACTACGGGATCTCTTCTCTTACAGTAGTGCAATCCGTTCTCACTAACCAAGTAGGGTATGTCTACACAGCAAAGTTATTTCAAAATAACTTTACTAGTGTCTACACCGCCAAACAGCTATTTCAAAATTAATTTGAAATAGCAGAGCGCTTATTTTGAATTTGGTAAACCTCATTCCACAAGGAATAATGCCAAATTTGATATGTGTAGACACTCATATCAAATAGGGGGCCTTCAGCTTTCCCAGGGTGCCCTGGTGGCCACTCCAGCCTTAACCAAGAACACTCCTCTCCCTCCCCCCTTCCCTCCCCGGAGCCCTTAAAGGGGTTGACTCTGGCTCCTGTGCCAAGCCTGCCAGATCAGAGCCAGCAGTCACTGCCCCTGACCCAGTGGCCCCAAAACATGAGCCAGCAAACCACTGGCAGACAGCCCTCCACCACAGACCTCAGGGCTGGCACAGACCTCAGGCAGCAGCCCCACACAGTAAGTCCTGACCTGGTGCCCTGCCGGAACTGGTTCCAGCCAGCCTTAAATGCGATTCAGCGTCCACTCAGTGTAGACGTGCTATTTCAAAATAGCAAAACGCTATTTTGAAATGCATTTTGTGTGTAGATGCGTTATTTTGAAATAGCTTATTTCGAATTAACTATTTCGAAATAACGCTGTAGTGTAGACATACCCATAGCTATTTTCATTATGACTGGTGTATTAGTATTTATTTCAAGAGAAACACATTAAGGATCTGATCCAGCAGTCTCTATGCACCTGAAACTGATGTTCACAGAAGAGATTGATATGCAAACAATGCAGTATCAGGCACAGAGGGGAACAACCAGTCTCCACCTTTGTGGACAGGAAGGCCTCTTAGTTATTAAATCTACCAGACCAGATTAATTTGGTATTGAAGATGTACTTAGACTTCCAGAAAGCCGTTGACAAGATCCCTCAACAAAGATACATAAGCAAAGTAAGCTGTCTTGGGATAAGAGAGAAAGTCCTCTCATGGATCAATAACTAGTTAAAAGATAGGAAGCAAAGGATAGGATTAAATGAACAGTTTTCAGAACAGAGAGAGGGAAACTAGTAGCATCTCACAGTACTGGAACCAGTACTGTTCAACATACTCATCATAAATGATCTGGAAAAACAAAACTACTCAAGATAGTTAAGTCCAAAGCCGAGGGTAAAGAGTTACAAAGGGACCTCACAAAACTGAACAACATAATTGCCAATTCAATGCTGAAAATGCAAAATAGTGCACATTGGAAAACAATTCCAACTATACATATAAAAATAATGAGGTCTAAATTAGCTGTTACCACTCAAGAAAGAGATCTTAGAGTCATTGTAGATATAGTTCTCTGAAAACATCCACACAATGTTCAGTAGCAGTCAAAAAAGCAACAATTAAGAAAGGGATAGATAATAAGAAAGAAAATATCATATTGCCTCTACAAATCTATGGTAGACCCACATCTTGAGTATTGCATGCAGACATTGGTGCTCCATCTTAGAAAAGATATAGAAAAGGACAAGAAAATTGATTAGGAGTAGAAGGAGAGATTAATAAGACTGGGATTTTCAGCTTGGAAATGAGATGACTAAGGGGGAGTATGATAGAGGTCTATAAAACCATAACTGGTATGGATAAGAGTAAATAAGGAAGTGTTCTTTATTCCTTCTCATAACACATGAACTAGTGGTCACCAAATGAAAATAATAGGCAGCAGCACTAAACAAACAAAGGGAAGTATTTCTTCATACAACACACAGTCAACCTGTGAATTTTCTTCCAGGGCATGTTTTGAAGCCCAAGACTATAACGGGGTTAAAAAAAAAACCCTAGATAAGTTCCTGGAGGTTAGGTCCAACCAATGGCTATTACCCAGGATAGGCAGGGATGGTGTCCCTAGCCTCTGTGAGAAGCTGGGAACGGGTGACAAAGGGTGGATCACATGAGGATTAGCTGTTAAGTTCATTTCTTCTGGGGCACCTGTCATTGGCCACTGTCGATGGACAGGATACAGGGCTAGATGGACTTTTGGTCTGACCCAGTATGACCATTCTTATTGGTTCACTAAGAATTCATTCTGTTATTGGATGTGGCATTGCTTGAGGCACAAAAACCAACCTTAATCCAGGGTTGTTTGTGTAAGAGATCACATTGCCCCTCTGACCTACCTTGAAGCCCAGGGAAACCTCATTCATTTTCCTGAAAGCACGTACAAGATATTAGATTGAACATCATGTGGTAAAGTTCAAACAGAAAACAGTACATGAAAAAGGAAAACTGGTAAGGCATAGCAAACTGCTGCTTACTTTTTTCTGTTTGTCACATAGGTAAACTTAGCTTGGAAAGCCACACATCATTTAGCAGTACACCTGTGCAAACATCGCCATATGATCACAAGCCTCACCGTCTTTGAGCTAAACAAATCCTCTCCACTTAGCTCAAACATTTTGTAATGCAACTTAGATTGTCTGTAAGTCCATACTCCCTACTACGATCCCATGCTCTCTAAAGGCCAAAGAGTATGTGATGTTTACTCATATCCTTCTTTTGCCTATTTGTTTTGATGATTTGTGTGTCCAGCCTAAGATCTAGATGCTCTCTACACAATTTCATATAAAGCTGAATCCTTACTATGCCATCAGTGAACTTAGCAGAGTGTCTTGGACAAATAAAATTTAAAAAATAATTCATTTAAATTACATCTTAGACACCATCTTATTATGTATTTATCCCTCTCCTCTGGAAATGTGGTGGGAAAATGATAGTAAAAAATTGTTTACCATGCAAAATTATTTGCTAGAAACTAGCTTTTTTTAAAAAAAGATATGGTGTAAACAGTAGGAAACAGTCTTCCAATATATTTATGCAAGTCCACAGTATATGGACAATTACCACAGAGATGCAGAGTAAACATTTTTTAAGGAATAATTTGAACACTTACAGAATACTCAATTTTTGTGGCTAGTTTCTTAATTTGCAGTTAACATGTGAAAATTCCTATAGCATCATCAGCAAAGCAATTCTTTACACAGGAAAGAATGCAAGGTGTGGAATTTTATGTACACAAATGACATAACATTTTACTTGTGCTTTATTGTTTTATGCTCAGGTGAGGAAGGGCGACTAGCATATGAACAGCTGGATAAATTCCCTCGGGAATTTGTTAAAGTTGGAGGCCGTCGGGGGACAGAAGTTGCCACTGCTTTTTAGACACAAGATACTCTACGTAACCGTTAACAATCATTACAACTATGTTCACATTAACTGGGATGGTGCTGTAATTTAACTGCTTTAAAAACAAAAAAACAAAAAATTGAAGAATGGTAAAGCGTGTCCTGAAAGTTAGCAACTAATAGACTTTTTAAGGGGGAAAAAAACAAGAGTGTAAACTCAGTTGAGTTCCTATTGGCTTTTCTTCTTAACTTATGATGGAACAGTTATTTTTATTGAAGATAGTGCTTTGATGGCTGGCTTCAGAGTAAGTGATGTAATTGCAGTAAATCAGTCACTCAGTAAATTTATATTTTAGAATTCAGCATCTTAATATTTTTACACAATTTTGCACTTCTTTTAGTGAGGTTGTTCTGTACGCTTGAGCGGTGATGCTGCATTTAAAAAAGGAAAGTAGGAAGCAAACCAATTAGGACTACAAAACAACTTACTCTCCATGCGGCGCTCAGAGTTGGATGCCTTGCAGGATTCCTAGCAGCATGGACTGAGACTCAACTACCCAGATTTATTTTAATGATGAAATATAGATTACCAAGTTTTGCCTGTAGAAACAATCCCAGGAGCTGTTATTTCATTGACTCATTTTAAATGCCTCTGCTGGTCTTCTATTTTCTCCCTCTCACCTCCAGTAATGAACTATGATTAATCCCGGGATTTTCTTGTGCTATCAAGCAATTGCGTAGGTTTTATAGAAATAAATGGAAGGCTAAATATGCTCATTGTTCAAAAAGAAAAAGTGACTATAATGCAATTAATTGCATGAACCCCTGAAGCCATTTTTGTTTCCTAGGTTACAGGAAGGAGTGGGATCCATGCACTCTGGTTAGTGTATAACAGCTTGCTAGAGAGTAATTTCAGTATAAAGAATTCAAGCAAACTAAAGAGGACCTTGGAGCTGTTAAAGACAGAGTGCAAATAAAAAATTTCCTCCCACCCAACTCCCAAGTATAAAAGACTTAAGTGCTTCAAGCTATTGATTATAGCCCTTAAATTAACAGATGAGGTGAGTGTAATTTAACAGAAGGGCATTCTTGTCCTGCAGTACCTCTGACATGAAATACTACTTCGATGTTAATTAAAACATCCAGCTTCTGATGAACTATTCAGAAAAGGATCACAAATAAATAGTTCACTTCAAAAAGAAGCCTCGTGCGCCAAATACATTGGCAGACAGTTTATCTGACTGTGAATGTTACCAACAATGTACATATAGCTGTATATTTATAAATATTATGTATATTCTTCCTTTAATTAAAAAGGTACATTTGTACAGTCTAAAAGATGTACTTGTTTACTGAAGGAAATAGGCTCTTTTTTACAGAAGGCTAAATAGCTATGTCATGGTTTTTATATTTCATCTACTGCATGAGCGGATTCACCCATCATATTCTTTTGTTCTGACATCTGCTTATTTTTTGCCTTCCAGTTTTGTGGCATGTTTACTCATATTCCTGATCACATTTAAGTTATAATAAAGAATATTTGTAATCACTTAAACACATTGGTCCAAACTATAAAATGTGTGTGCTCAACCTTCTCCGCTGTGGGGACTAAAAAATCTTAACGCACATCTTTCAGGCTTTTGTCTACAGAGGAAATTGCATTCCAGCACCAGCTATCAGTGGCCACTAATCACTGTAGCTGTCGCAGGGCAAAGCCCATCATCCATTGTGGAGAAGAAAAGGCTCAGTTCTCAATGGTGGAACTCTCTTCAGGCTGGCACTGGGGCAAATCCCTCAAATATATAGTAAGGTCTTTGTTTACTACTTATGGCAGCCCCCTTTGTGCAGTAGGACAGTTCCCAGGAAATAATCTGCAAGTAGAGATTCACCATTGTTCTGATGTTCTAAGTACAAAGGTACTTCACAAGAACATCTGGGAAAGGGGTTAATACTGGGCATCCCTACTATAAGTCACCCCAGTATACAACCATTCTGCACTAAAGTCATTGACGCTTGTAGGAATTGATGTGTTAAGTCCTCCCCATTCTCTGCTCTTAAGTTGCACCAAAAAACCCCAATCAATTTGTGCAAATTGGAAATCAGCCACGGGAAAAAAAATCCCCCCCTTTAAGTTGTTTTGCTGTAAGTACAAGTGTTTTGGAATGTATCTTGGGTTTATAGCAAGGGTGGCCTGTAGTTCTGTTTTGACAGGTCTGTCTCCAATACAAAATTAAGACAACTTTGAAAGGTCTAGTCAAATAACTATGCTATCCACTACTTTCCAATTAGCATAGCCAAGGATAAGTCCTGTTCAGCATCATGTCAGCTAATCATGGTTAAGCCTGTTTGGTGCAATATACTCTGATTTTCATTACATTCAAGAGACCTGTAGAAAACACCAGCAGTACAGGAATAAGCTCTTGGAAACATGTGACTAGGCCCCAGATGCTGTTAATTTATACTCTTACACAACATGGTGGCAGATATGCTGTACTGCAGTTTTTCATGGAATTAAAAACAGCAATGATAGCTTGGGTTTTTTCCCCCCCTTTTGCTCTTACATGGGCGACTAGTTTTGTAGCTCTAACTTTCTGTAGTCCAGGAGAAGTTGTAAACAGATAGTTTTAGATCAATAAAACTAACACACATACAAAAAAGGCAGGAAAAATGAAGGGAAGAAAAATCAGACTGTACTGGTGGAGAGGCATGATTAGCTGAAGTCAAAGAAAGGTGGAGCTGACGTCTTATGTTTATCGCCAGTACCCACCACCTGCACAAGACATCACTAGCCAGGTTTATTTAAGGTGTAGAGATTTTTCCACAACACTAGATCTGGGGAGGAGAAGGAGGAACAATCATTATGTAATGAGTATTACCTGAATTTCTGCAAAGCAAAATGAGAAATTATTTTAAATTATGTTTTAAATAAAAAAAACCATTATTTTGAAAATATAATAGGCTCAGGTCTGGCTTCTGTTGTCCCATCCCTCACTGCTCTAAATCAGGCTTACAGCACATGGTTGTAGCATGCTGAACACATTGTTTTAAGCCAACAGGACACATTTACATTCCGCCTTCTGAAGAAGATAATGTGTTACAATTAAATGGAGGCATAGAACATTGGTTTGCTAAAATAAATCCTATGATGTCATCAGACTCTGTTACAACAAAGAGCAGCTTCCATTTTTCATTCTGTTTATTCTAAAATGTTGCTTAGTTACTAAGCTGAGTGGTTTTCCTGAAAATTACAATTAATACTCTGGCTTTCCAGGCGATTGCTATTTAGTTTCAGAACACACATTTTATACACATTGAAAAAAAAGTCATTAAGGACAACTTCTTGCAGATTCATGGAAAGTATATTTAAGAGCCTTCAAGGCTGTTATGAAACGTTCATCAACACTTTTTTCTCTTCTGAAAAGGAAGAGCATTACACTCCAACTGACGACATTTTTCATAAGCAAAAAATTGTTAGATATGGCACTGATGTGAGGAACATACAACTACCCCTGGAACAGAGAGCTCAAGCTGCAAAAAATATTGGACTGCTAGCATACACAGGTAACAAGACAAACTGGCTTGCTGAAATAGTTCTTGTGTCTTCTTGTTTGCTCTTTCAATATAATTTAAACCAACAGTTTCATATCTGTGCTAAAGTAAGGCCATTTTCCTGCATCACAACCCCTAAAAAGCAGTTTATGTGATTTAAAATGTATAGTTCTCAGACTTGCTTCTATAAAGTGAGGAAAAGAATTAGTTTAAAAAGAAATTAAGGCCCTAATTTATGGATGAGTAGGGTTTTCATGTAATCCTTAACTTGCATTTTTAAAAGTTTCATGTCCAGCCCTTACCAAGAAGAAAAGCTTGCCAATGTGAACACAATAACCTCCAAGAGCAGAAGACAAAACAATAATCATTACCTGTTAACATCTCACCTACCTCTTCAACAATACAAAAGGAAAGGGGAGGAGATGCATGTGTGGAAAGAACAGAACAGGTACTCACCAGATGGAAAAGTCAGCAGCTGTTAGTTACAAAATGGCCCCTGTAGAAAAGCAGTTGGTTGGCTCCTCCAAAATTTAAAGGACCAACCACACCCAAAAAGTATTCTAAGGAAAAAGTTCTTGTAAGAAGGGATAATCGGTAGGGAAGAGGCACTCATCATGGAAAGTGTGTTGGAAGGGAGCTGCATTGGTGTCAGCTTATTATTACTGTATCCTAAGTTTTTCTTGTCCTTTTAACTGGATATGGTGGTCTTTATTCTCTTCAGCTGTTGGGAGCTATGTTACAGATAATGATTTATAAACACCATATTGCCAATCACAAATATTCAAAAATTATGAGACAGACCCTTGTCCCACCCCAACAAGCAAGAGATGTTTGGGGCTCCTTTGATGTTCCTCAATTAAATCCTGATTCAAGAAACTTAAAGTCTCCTTAACTGGATATAAAACTCAGTTTCTGACCTTCCTCCACTCATCACTTCCCTGGGGGGGAGTGTAGAAAGACATTAGATAGATGTACTACACCAGTAGTTCTCAACCTTTAAAAACTAATGTATCCTTTTCAGGAGTCTGATTTGTCTTTCATACCCCCAAGTTTCACCTCATTTAAAAACTATTTACTTATACGGACATAAAAAAACAGGTGTGTCATAGCACACTATTACTGAAAAATTGATTATGTTCTGATTTTTATCATATGTGTTAAAAATAAATCAACTTGAATATAAAATTATTCTTATGACATGTCAGGCTATGGCTAGAGTGCAAGCTTCTTTCGGAAGAAGTTTTTCCGGAAGAGATCATCCGGAAAACCTTTTCTTGAAAGCGAGTGTCTATACAGCAAAAGTGCAATGAAAAAGCAATGAGCTTTTTCGATATTTCAGTTGTAATTACTGTGGATAGAATGGCCACCAGGGCACCTGTGCTTTTTCCTAGAGGCCTCTTATTTAGAAAAAACACCCTCTTCCACGTCCACACGTGTCTTTTTCCAAAAAAGCTTTTTCGGACAAAGGCTTCTTCCTCGTAGAAAGCGGTTTACCACTGTCAGAAAAACCCCTCCATTCGTTCAACTTTCTGTCGAAAGAACGCAATAGCAGTATGGACGTAAGTGTAGTTTTTCCAGAAAAACGGCCATTTAGACAGGACTAACCTCCTGTGTAGACAGACCCCCAGTGTATATAAAGCCATATAAACAAATTACTGTATGATTGGCACAGATTATACTGGTGCTTTTTATGTAGCCTGTGGTAAAACTATGCAAACATCTACAGGAGTTGATGTACTGTCTGGAAGACCTATGCATTCCCCCATGGGTAAGCATACCCCTGGTTAAGAACCACTGCATTACATTTTAAACCTGTATCAACAGTAAGAATAAGTAGTAATACACTGAACTTGTTTAACCGAAAAAAAAAGGGTTTTCTGAGCCTGCCATACAGCAAGCCTACTATAATTGTCAGAAATATTCATAATCAGTTGGCATCACAACGTTAGAAAAATGTGAGCTGTTAATTTAAGTCATAGTACCATTGTGGGTAGAGGAGCCCCTTCTCCTGCTATATGTCAGCAAAGGTACAGCAAAAAGTGACTGGTTTGTTATGATCTAAGTACACCCTGCTGGCAGATATTCTATTTCTTTGGAGAATGTAAAGTCAGCCAAAAACTCAGAAAATAAGTGGTTCCATAGATGCAAAAGTCAGGTTTTTGGCCATCTAGAATTTTGCATAGGAAAGGTGGTCAGGGAAGGCGAGACTTAATGAACATGATTTCTCAATCACTCAATGTTTTCCATGGAAAATGTATGTGTAACTCATCACGTGTTCTGCAATCTGGTCAATAACTCAGCAAGTTCAGAAGCCAGACATCAGTAGCTTTATGCAACAGGGTCCAAGAACCAACATAAATCACCCCTACTTGTAACACCTCCATTTAAAAATGTTCACTTCAATGAGTATTTTTGCCACTGAAAATGGCATACAAGACCAAAACTAATGCACAGGAGTGGCCTGAGGCCGGCTGCGGCAGCTGGCGCCCCAGGCAGAAGGCGCAATTGGCGCCCCCGCCTACACGGCCATCAATGGCCATAACGTAATCACGAGGCACCCCAGCACCCCGCAACGTCATCATCGGGCGCCCGGGCCAGCAGCCTTAGGCAACTTCCTAGCCTCACAGGCCACCCCTGCTAATGCACAGATGCTTTTACGTTTCTCTTCAGCATCTGAGGAAGTGAGTTGTAACTCATGAAAGCTTATGCCCTAATGCCCCAATAAATTTTTTAGGCTTTAAAGTGCTAACAGACTCCTTCTTGTATTTGCAAGGAAGATGACCAATGGTTCTTGTTCTACAGTTATTTCAATCTGCTGACACTGATAGTTTTCTTGCAATAAATGGCAAATCCCGACATACACACCCTGCACATCCCAGTTAACCAGACGGCACTGGAGAGACCGGATGTGTTTATAGGGGAATATGGTCTCTGAAGCTGACTGATGGGAATGACTGGTAGTGTTACTGAGCCTGCTTTCACTCTTCCCTCAACCTGCACATGTAGCTGTGTTTGGTTGTGCACAACTGGTGTGAGATGCCCAAATTCTGTCCCACTGCTGCCACTATGGCATATCACATTCGTTTTACAGGGAATTCTTCATTGTCAGTGGGGAAATTGTGGCAAAGGGGGCAGGGGGAGAGAGACAAGGCGGTGATTGATTTACCTTTATGTAAACTAAACTACAGTGTATTTAATATCACAGTGATGCCACGAAGTGCCTTCTCTGCATTTATGCCTTGGAAAAAGACCTCAAACTATTTTAGAACAAGAAATTCCTTTTTTTTTCAATTGCAATGTGCTATTGTTCAAATAAAAAGGAACAATAATGTGCAATAAATGTGCCCTCTAGTAGGAAATACAAATGCTTGTCATAATCAGATTAAATTTAAAAAGCTCAGGCTCAGCAAATTTTCAAACTGCTTGCCCCTAACTTCAAATACAATTCTGGAAAATACACACATGCACACAAATACCCCTTAAGAACAGTAAATAACATAAGCTTCAGAGGGGTAGCAGAGTTAGTCTGTAACAGAAAAAACTTAAAAAACAACACAGAGGCTGTGTCTACACTGGGCCACTTATTCCGGAAAATCAGCCACTTTTCCGGAATAAGCTGCGAGCTGTCTACACTGGCCTTTGAATTTCTGGAAAAGCAAAGACGCTCTACTGTACAAAATCAGCCGCTATTCCGGAAAAACTATTCTGCTCCCACTCGGGCATAAGTCCTTATTCCGGAACACTGTTCCGGAAAAGGGCCAGTGTAGACAGCCCAGTAGTCTTTTCCGGAAAAAAGCCCCGATCGCGAAAATGGCGATCGGGGCTCTTTTCCGGAAAAGCGCGTCTACATTGGCCACAGACGCTTTTCCGGAAAAAGGGCTTTTCCGGAAAAGCAGCCTGCCAATGTAGACACTCCTTTTCCGGAAAAACTGAAAACGGAATAGTATTCCGTTTTAAGCAGTTCCAGAAATTCATGCCAGTGTAGACACAGCCATAGTCTTTAAGGTGCTACTAGTCTAACAAAACATGTAGATGGTATCATGAGCTTTCGGGGGCACAACTCACTTCTTCAGGTGACTGGACTATTAGAAGTCCAGATTCAAGAATATATGGCGGAGGGGGAGAGAAAAAAGAGGGGGAAAGGAGAAAAAAAAATAGAAAAAGAGAGACCGAGTAGATGGTTAACTTAAAAAACAACAAATAGACTAGTAGCACCTTACTGACTATCAACTCACTGTCTCTCTATTTTTTTCTCCTTTCGCCCCCCCTCCCCAATTTATTTTTGGATCTGGACTTCTAATAGCCCACGTCACATTGAAAGTTAGCTTCCTCTGAAATCTCAAGCATTTCAACAGGATTTGTCTGTTCAGGGAACCAGCACAGAAACAATTGGAACCTGATTTCTTGTATAGTAGGAAATACAGGTACCTAAATATAGTACAGGGAAGAAGGGGCTTATTTACTGGCAAGTAACAGTGAAAGCTGAAATTTAAAAACCCATTCTGCACACACAGCATAATAGCTGAAGGCATTTGGTTTTTATTTTAATGCGTCCCAAGAATGTATTGGTTTTTGTTACAAAAAATGAAAGGGCAGGTAAAAATTGATGCAAAAAATTAATATTACAGTTTTCGGTGTAACTATTGAGGTTAATATTGGGGGATGAACAGACAGGAAAACAGCAACAATTAAAGAAAAGTAAGGGTATTGAAAGTAAAAGCAGCTTAACACTGTTTTATTTCATAAACTTTATTAATAGTAAGTATGTACACCTGTACACGTATGCATCAGTATATTCATACATTCCATTATATTGCCTTTAGCAGACAGCCTCACATTTTCATTTAATTTATTAGTAACATCTACTTGTTAGATTTTTTTTAACATAGTATGTACTTTCATGCACTTGAGTGAGTTAAAACTTGAGCAAAACACAAATAGTTTTTGTAAGACCAAGGAAACTTTCCTTAAAAATTGATAAAAACTGAAAATAAAGGGCTTTTGTTCATACTTGTTAGAAGAGCTACTGAAATCCCTTGGTATTTGGCAATGAGTTGTCTACCCTCAAGCATGTTGCTCTAATGTAATGTTTACTTTCCAGATTGCACATGTACAACTGTGTTATTTACTTAACAAACAACAAATAGACTACAGGCAGTCCCCGGGTTACGTACAAGATAGGGACTGTAGGTTTGTTCTTAAGTTGAATTTGTATGTAAGTCAGACCTGGCGTCCAGATTCAGCCGCTGTTGAAACTGATCAGTTTCAGCAGCGGCTGAATCTGGACACCAGTTCAGACTTACATACAGATTCAACTTAAGAACAAACCTACAGTCCCTATCTTGTACGTAACCCGGGGACTGCCTGTAGTCTATTTGTTGTTTGTTAAGTAAATAACACAGTTGTACATGTGCAATCTGGAAAGTAAACATTACATTAGAGCAACATGCTTGAGGGTAGACAACTCATTGCCAAATACCAAGGGATTTCAGTAGCTCTTCTAACAAGTATGAACAAAAGCCCTTTATTTTCAGTTTTTATCAATTTTTAAGGAAAGTTTCCTTGGTCTTACAAAAACTATTTGTGTTTTGCTCAAGTTTTAACTCACTCAAGTGCATGAAAGTACATACTATGTTAAAAAAAATCTAACAAGTAGATGTTACTAATAAATTAAATGAAAATGTGAGGCTGTCTGCTAAAGGCAATATAATGGAATGTATGAATATACTGATGCATACGTGTACAGGTGTACATACTTACTATTAATAAAGTTTATGAAATAAAACAGTGTTAAGCTGCTTTTACTTTCAATACCCTTACTTTTCTTTAATTGTTGCTGTTTTCCTGTCTGTTCATCCCCCAATATTAACCTCAATAGTTACACCGAAAACTGTAATATTAATTTTTTGCATCAATTTTTACCTGCCCTTTCATTTTTTGTAACAAAAACCAATACATTCTTGGGACGCATTAAAATAAAAACCAAATGCCTTCAGCTATTATGCTGTGTGTGCAGAATGGGTTTTTAAATTTCAGCTTTCACTGTTACTTGCCAGTAAATAAGCCCCTTCTTCCCTGTACTATATTTAGGTACCTGTATTTCCTACTATACAAGAAATCAGGTTCCAATTGTTTCTGTGCTGGTTCCCTGAACAGACAAATCCTGTTGAAATGCTTGAGATTTCAGAGGAAGCTAACTTTCAATGTGACAAATTTGTAGGGCTTGGTGCACGAAAGAGCCCAGGCTCCTTAGAACACATCCAGTTCAAGCAGATGTAATGTGTGTGTAGCTACACACACACGTTAAGGAACTATCACTGATTATATATAACTAATTTTTATACAGGACAATTTAATATTATGTATTACATTTGAGAAGTAACTAAGGATTCTGGGGATAATATATTGTAATAAATCCAGCTTTGTACTTCTATAGCATATTTTGAGTGCTTTGTAGACATTTTTAATCATAATATCTCTGTGGGCATATGAAAACATTGTCCCCATTTTTCTGACACTGAAATTGATGCATAGAGAAGTTAAGGCCCAGATCCTCAAATTAATTTAAGTGTCTAACTTCCATTGAAATTAGTAAGAAGTAGGTGCCTAAATATTTTTGTGGGCCTGGGCCCAAGTGACGTGACCAAGGTCAGAAATCAAGTGTGTGGCAGGTAGAGGAAGAGGAGAACTTGTATGTCGCATGTCCCAGTTCTACAATGTAGCCTCATGACTATCTGCTTTAGTTTCTTTACTAGCACACACAATGGATTGTGTGTTTTCTCACTTTTCACACAATGGAACTGACTTAAAAGGTTCTGTGGTAGTTTTAGCTCAGAATTTCCAATGTACACGCAAATTATTAACTGGCCTATCATCTTCTAAAGGTATCGTCTTCAATTTCAGGTGGGACAAATGCTGGAATGCATGCATCAGAATACATTCAGGATCTCATTGCTATCTTGCAGATGCCAAATACTTCAGCAAAAGTGAGGATCCTGGTGCTCCAAGGACTGTGTGGTATTTGCTATATAAATTACAGTAACCAAAACAAAGTAAAAGAACTGAATATTGCTCATGTTCTTATTGCATTTCTCACTGAAGAGGAAGATTCATCCCCAGCTAACAACAGTTTTACCGTGGCTAAATTCTGGGTTTGTTACCTTCTGACTGTCATTTGTTGCAACAATATCCCTTACATTAAACTACTCTATGAATTGGGAGGTCAAAGGCTGGAAACAAAGCTGAAATTCCTGTCTAGCATAGAATGGTCTGGCTGGCCAGATAATTATGCAGAAGTACTCTTTGCCCTTTTGGGGTTTCACCACGTTCAACGTAGTTTTGATAGTTAAAATGTAATAATCCTCTCAAGAATTGTTATAATCTGTAAACTATTTACGTGACATAATAAAGAAAATGAAGACAAATTAAATAATGTTAATTTTCCTCTTCCCCATCCCCCCAAGAACTAATTTGCTATTAAAACATTAACACAACCTATATCAGCTCCTATACTAATCCATTATTCACCCTTTCTCTCACCCCAGAAAGTCAGGAGTACATCATAGAACAGATAATCTCTACTCAGGTTCATTTTCCCCAGACAAGACATTACCCTTTAATCTCTTATCCCTTCTGGACACACCGGAACAGTAAATTCAAAGGATTCCAGGCTAATGATATCTTGAATACTAGACTGGAGCAGAGGTTAGTGTGACCTTGGTGGCCACAGCCTCAATGGGATGTGATATGTCTGCAGGCTATTCCAGTCAGTATACTGATTCAGCAGACCTGCTTTTCTAAAGTCCTGCTCCTATTGACATTGCGATACGTGGGCAGTATTAGACCTGTGGGCTATGTCTAGACTACATGCCTCTTTCAAAAAAAAGCATCTAGATTGCATTAAGTGGATCGAAAAAGCGCATCCAGAGTGCTTGGATGCTCTGTCGAAAAGAGGGCACCCGGAACAACTTGTGCCAGGGTATAGGGGCAGCTGGGCCCAACCCCCCCCACACACACACGGCACAGGGAAACCCCGCACGTGCCTGCCCTGGGGCCAATCCCCCCCTCCCACAGCGGGGCCAAACCCCCACGGGAGCCTGCCCTGGAGGCAACTCCACTCCCTCCTGCAGAATGGCCAACCCCAGTGGGTGCCTACCCTGGGGTCAACCCCCCCTTCCATGGCACAGCACGGCCCAGCCAACTCCCTCCCCTCCCGCAGCGCGGCCAAACCCCGGGGCTGACCCCCGCTCCCGCGGCCCAGGGAAACCCCTGCACTCAACTCACGCCTCTGATGCCAGTGGCGCAGAGAAGCCTCCGCACTCCTCCTCCAGGGCCAACGCCCCCTCCTCCAACACGCAACAGAGCTGTGGGAGGGGAGCAGCCCACGTACTTCTGGAACCCCCAGAAGTGACGCAGGCTTCAGACAGGACTTCCGTCCACCCCGCGGGAAGCCGGCACTACAATAAAGGTGGGTAGTGGGGCTTCTTGGGGGTGGGGGTAAAATGTGGGGTGGGGTTGCCCGAACACCTCGCGATCGACTGGTCGAGGCCTCGCGATCGATGAGTTGGTGACCACGTCTCTAAGGCATCTTGCAGTCAACATGGGGGCATTGATCCGGCACCAACCCTCCCCCACCTAACTAATCTGGCCAGCAGTTAGGTGGAACAGCTATTGGTAAAAACAAGACGGTGTGTGTGTGTGCTGTATTATATGTATATAAGTGTTGACTGCTATATGTGTGTATTACCAAGAAATGTGGCATTTTGCCTTTTCCCCAAAAAAGATCCCATTTAAGTACAATACAACCATCCCTGCCCCAGAGCCAGCCCCCCCAATCTCCCGCATCCCAATACATTCACCTCACCCCTGCCCCAAAGCCAGCCCCCCCATGCACTCAGCCCTCCTCCCCCAGAGCAAGGCACCCCCAGTGCAGGGGGGAGCACTCCCCCAATCAAATCCTCCCCTCCAGCCAGGCATGGCGGAATGTACCTTTCTTCAAACCACTGCTCCTCCCACCCAGCTGGCAGTTTGGAGAGAGCCGGGAGCAGCACTTAGCCAGCAGCTCTCAAGAGCAGCGTGCATTCGGTCCCACACCAGCCCGGTGCCCCCTAGCATGACACCTGGGGAAATTGTCCCCCCCTCCCCCTTCGCTACGGCTTTGCTCTCAGGAGACAGTCCATGCAGGGTAGGGGGAGTGTAACAGGAAAGGGCAGAGGGAGTGGGGGTTGGAGTAGGAGGGGGGGAGGGCTCCTGGCCTCACCCTGCTCTACTGCTGAGAGCGGCCACCTGAGGGGGCTCCTGGAGTCTTAAGGGGGAGGGATGGGGGGCACCTGCCAAGGATTCGGGCACCCCCTCTAACTTCCTATTCTGTGTGTTTCTATGTGTCTATTTCTGCAGGTGGTGAGGGCCATCAACTTGGAGCTGCTGAACAGGATTATCCACCTCGGAGACCTGGACACCATTGTGGCTGGCTTTGCTGGGCTGGGAGTCCCGAACTATGAAGGCGCGCTCGACGGGACTCACATCCCGATCCACACACAGCTCCATCGAGCAGCCCAGTACATCAACAGAAAGGGCTATTTCTCCATGGTGCTGCAGGCCCTCGTCGACCACCAGGGAAAGTTTACAGACATTTGTGTTGGATGGTCGGGCTGGGTACATGATGCCTGGATCTTGAGAAATTCCTACTTGTACCACAGGCTGCAGGCTGGAATATTCTTCCTCTTTTTGGAGGAGGGTGGATGTAAACCTGGAGGAGGGAGGGAGGTTTAGGGCTGAGGGTGTCACCTGGCCCGCAAAAGTCTGCCGCCTCGGGTCCGTGGCCCTAGACGGGCTTGGGGTCGAGTGGGACCTGGGACAGTAGGGGGCTGTGGAAGAGGGGGTGCTGCAGCTGGATCTG